CGGGTCCGGAACGGCCGCCCTCGCGGGAGGCCCTGTGCGCGCCCGGCCCGGCCCTCGCGGAGCGGCTCCCGCGCCGATCTCGTCCGACCTCCCTCTGCGAGGCTCTCTCCCCCACTTCACGCGAAGTGACATCTCCGCGAAGGCGCCGTGACAAACACTGTTAAAGTATCGTAAAACCACGGCGAGATGTCCTGCAGGCCGTGTGCAAGGAGTCTCACGGGCCGGCGCCCCCAGGCCGAGGACGGGTCGGGGGTTCGGGGCCGTGCGGGCGCGGGGGCGCCGCGCTCCGCGGGAAGCTTCTCCCGAACCCGGCGTCCGACCGCAGCCCCTGTCATCAGGGCGGCACTGCGGGGATCCAACGTTTGGGAACAGTAGATCTTTTCTGAAAGGAAATTAGAATTTGGTCACAGACCCCCAAACCCAAAGGGAAGTAGGAATAAAACCGTGACAGATCCGGTGAAAAATAAACGGCTACCGTTTCAACCTCTTCACATACAGGAAGCGGGGAGAAAGGAAGTTTGTAAGGTCGCAGGGTGGATGAGAACAGAAGTGATTCCAGACTGCTCGCACTTTGATTTATTCCCAGAGTAGTAATAAGTAACTAAGTAAATACATGAAGCACTGCAAGGATGTAGATAACCTAAGGCTAGGGGCGGGGACCGGGCTCCGGCTCCCCTTCCCCCACCCTGTGTTTCACAGAAGTCCCTGCAAGGTCGCGAGTCTCAGCAGCCGGTGGGTGAGAGGTGACAGAACAGAGGAGCCCGAAATAGGTTCAATATTTTTTAGACCCCTAGCGGGTCAGTAAAAGAAACAAACTGCACTGCAAGCTTTGTCTGCACGAGCCGGGCCGCTCTGGATGTCCCTGTGTGTGTGTCCCTTGGTGAACATGTGCTAGAGTTTTCCGAGCTATGTACTTAGGAGCAGAATTGCTGGCCATAAGGGGTGATATAGTTGAACTCTTAAGTGGTTTTGCAAAATGTTACACTAATGTGCGCTCCCGCCAATGATTACATAAAGTTTCCAAGGCTGCACATCCATGCAAGAATCTTTGCCAATAAGGTAGCTCTACTGCTAACATGAAACATGACGCTAAAAACTCCAGTCCTGTGGAATGCAAGGTCTTCTCTTTGTTTCCTTAAAATGCAATTAAAATATTAATACAGACGAATAAAAAATTTATGAGATTTTCTTGACATATTTATGAATCACATCCGGACAAATCTGGCAGAAATTTGGATACATCTGAATTTATGAGGTTTTATAAAAATGCAACCTAAAATTAAATGATAGCTATAAAAATACAAGAACAAATAAAGTAATTTTTGGTATTTCTACACAGTAAATTGTATAACCATCTTTTTTATTGCTAGGCTGGTTTTCAATCTATTTAAAATGAATGAAAACATCATTACAGCTTCTAAAAGCATCCGGTATTTATGAAAAATACATAAATTACTTATACAGATATGTTCAGATAAAAATTTTTATTGTGTTGGGCCAAAGATAGGTTTAAAGAATAATGGAAAGAAGTGGGCATAATTTGATATTTAAAAAATTTAACAATCAAAAGGCCTGGGTTGAATATCTAAATATAAAAACAAGTGACATTTAGTTGATGTCATAAGAGAGGTAATCACTACTCATTTTATCTCTAGTTTCTCAGTTCTAGCTCTGATTTTTAAAGTTGATCATACAGATGTGAGATGCTCATATGTATATATATATATACACACACACATATACACACACACATATATATATATAGTTTAAGTTAAATGCTAGTTGACATTATTTTAGAATATTTATGTTCTGAAAAGAACAAAATTAGTGTTGAGTAGTTTATACCCTGTGTTGCTCTCTAATCAAATTCCCTTTTCTCAGTAATAAACCAGAGGTTCTTTTTCTGTGTTTTCACCATTAGTGGGATTCCAGACACAAGCCATTTTCATTCTTACTGAATCTCATCCTTTATTTAAAGTTTATAAACAGCTCAAATGAAGTGGATAATAGACTGCATAGAGAAAAAAAATATATATAAGGCAATCATTGCCTTAACTGAGCAGGTTTCCAAGCAGGTCGCCTCTGTTGTTCTCTAGCATGGTATTAGTGGCCTAATGTCTATTGGTTCAGCTGCCAATGATTTTTGGCAATTGTTGATCAATTAAAATCAGCTTGGAGCTGGGCGTGGTGGTACACACTTGTAATCCCAGCACTCGGGAGGCAGAAGCAGGAGGATCACTGTGAGTTTAAGTCCAGCCTGAGCTACATAGTGAGTTCAAGACCAGCCTGATCTACATAGCCAGACCCTGCCTCAAAAAAAAAAAAAAAAAATCAGCTTGAATTTCTTTTCTCTTGCCCTGCTTTTCTCCTATACCTTTATTCCCATTCTAAAAAATGAAGGCACTGACTCTTTTATTGTGTACTACCATGTGATTATGATTATAATGGGGGCTTTCAGAAGACGTACTGAGTCAGTTCTATACTGGGAAAAGTATCCAAGGTAGCAATGTCACCTATTGATGACATCTTCCTTCCCTGATTTCCAAATAGTAAGTAGTACCCTCCTTCATCTTGGCACTTTCTGCCTCCTTTGCAGCTTTATTTGTTTTCCTGAGCACGTACTGTATTACCACTGGATAGATCATCACCTCTCTCCCTTTCTAGAGTAAGAGCTCCAAGTCACGTTTCAAAATCTCTTCTGTCATTTAAAAACCATCTATAGTTCCTTTTTTTCATATTATCCCAATACGGGGAGCTGAGAATTTAGCTCAACGGCACAGTGCCTGCCTGGCAAGCTCAAGGTCATGAGTTCAGTTCCCGGTACCGGAAGAAAACCATATCATCCCAATACCTCAAGTTTTGGTGGTACTAAAGCTTGGCACATAGTGGGCATGAAAGAATGTATGTAAATGAATGAAAGAAATAATTGGATTATACAACTTTTATTTATGATTTATGCATGTATATCTGCATGCATATGTATATGTACTATGTAAATAATGATATGCCCTTAAATTACATAGGAATAATGATCAATTTTTCACCATATAAACAAACCATTGCTTAGACTCTCCTGGGTCATATTTTCTATTTGTTCTAGTCAATCTGGGAACTTAGAAGCTGGAATTGATAAATGATCCTTAAGCATATGATAGAAGTAAGAATAAACACGCAGTGTTAAGAACTGGGATTATCTCACCAGAAGAACGGGGCATGACCTCATGATTGGGAGCTACAGTGGAGGAGTGGAGTAGCTGACTTTGCCGGAAGACTTTGGAATAATAACTTCTGTAAATCACTTCTGTATTTTAGTTTTGCTACTTATAAAGGCAGTGTCTACGTGTACGTTATGTATTTTATTTTTTGCTTGCACAATATTCTTTCCTTTGCACAACCAACCCTTCCCTCTTCTGCAATAATCTCACACAATTCAGGGATCAGTCTCTGGATTTGTACAGAGGCCACGGTGAATGATTTCGCTTTCTTTGTAAATCTGACATGTAAGGATAATATAGGTTACATGGAGAGAAGCAATTTTGGAATGACACCAAGTAAAAACACACACACACACACATATATATATGTATGTATATGTATATATACAGAGAGAGAGAGAGGGTGGGAAGAGAAGGAGGGAGGGAGGGAGGGAAAGAGAGAGAGAGAGAGATTGTCATACATTCT